TTTATTTATATATTTTAACAATTTAAAAAAGTAGATCAGAGCTAAAAAAATGCAAAAACACAGGCAAATTTGCTTGTATTGGCCTACAATCTAAGGGATAGCCTTTTAAAGTCTCATTCTTATTGCAGAATCATATAAAGTAAGGAAAAGGGTCTAGACATTATTCACATTATTCGTTAATAAAAAATCAACTATAAGAAATTAAGGTAACACTGCATAAAGTTTAATGCAGGCCATTGATTATTAAGTTTTTATCGCTATTTTAGCTTCAACCCCTTTTTTCTTATAAATTCTAAAAAAAGATATATTTGAATTACTGATATATCTGGCTTTGAGTGATGAAATCGCGAGAAGGTAGGAATGGATTATCAGATTTCTTTTTTCTTGCAAGCTTGAAAAAAAGAGGGCCAAAATAAATCAGTAAAAAAATATGATACTAGATGTTTGATCAACATGTTTTGTTAAATAAGAAAGTGTTAAATATATACGTAGCATGTAAAATTATTACTTTCAATAAGTTAATAAATTTGCTGTGTCCAATAATTGTAGTGCCAAATTTAGTAAAGAATTTAATTATTTGTACTGTAGAAATTATCATGCTATGTTAGATGCCAAATAAAAAATATTAGTTGACTCATGTTTAATTATTGCAATACCGAGTCATATATATTGCATACTACTTCATGTCAGATTATTACAGTATATACTGAACTAATAAAAATAAGTTATAATTTATAATAAAAGGGTCCAGTACAAAGTTCTGTTCCGAATTCGGGTAAAAAAAGCTATGGATAGAATGTAGTTTCATTAAAAAAGCGCACATATATATTTTACAAGTATTTTTGAAAACAAACCTGCCCCTTGAATATTCACGGCTCAGTATATATGCTTATTTTAAATTTGTAAATAGCAAAGTGCCAAATATATTAAAATCCAGTCTCAAAAATTATGATGCATGTTGATCAAACGCTTTTTGTTATTAGGTAAAACCGCCCCTTGAAAACAAACATATTGTCATTAATAATACACTTTGCATCAAATTTATATACAGCCCAAAACTAGATATTGATATATATAAAAACATAATAAATAGTGCTAATTTAGATTATATAAATTCCTTTAGAGCAATTTTTTTACTGATATTCCACAATCACTCAAGTTATCTAAGCCACTGTCAAAGTGCTGTCGAAGCACTATTGAAGCACTGTTGAGACATATAATAGTAATAAAAAATAGCCAATTTATTAGCTATTATAACTTAAATATCTTATGATTATTATTTCAAAAACATGTATATGAACCCATGGGGCCATTAAGTCATGTGATAATACTTTATTTTTTCCAGAACAAATGTATGAATTTTTATGCATCCGATTCATTTCAGCATAGATCAGTGCTAAGATAAGTCTTTCGATTTGACAGCCATGAGCTTCTATCAATGTTAAAAATTAGATTACTATTACATGGTTGTGTTAAACTAACACACATTCATGTTTACAAGTACTTATTTTAGTATTTATGTATTTACGGAGTAACAAATGCGATGCTAGATGTTTGATCAACATGCTTTGATATTTTCATTATAATGCATAAATAACGAAGTGTATAATGGTTATTTTAAATTTGTAAATCAGGCTTAAATATCGATATATAGTATGTAAAATTATTTCTGTACTCTGTGTTCAATAATTGTGGTGCTAAATTTAGTAAACAATGTAATCTGGTTAATTATTGTTTTGTAATGTATAAGACAATAGTATCCCTTTTATATAAATCTTTCAATTTTTGATTTTTTTTTTTACTGATATTCCACCTTCTTACACTAGGTTGTTTTTGTGTTGATAAGATAATTTTCAAAACTATTTGTGTGGATATGCTTGGTCAAGCAAAAATTTTTTTTCTTATAAAAAAATTAGGACCTCTGACTATGTGTGTTGTGAGACTCAACAGGCTTATAATTACCATTAGGTAGCTTAGTACTTTGGTGAAGGTGATAATCTGGTCCGCAAAAAATATACAACCCATCTATTCCTTATAATGTAGTTTTCTTATGCTTATAAAAAACACTACTTTGAGGGTGTGATCATTATTTTTTCACATAAGGCATATGCAAAGAGAGGAAGGCCAACAGACTTCCCAGGTTTTAAACCACCAGGCTACACTATGTGAATGATATGAATGTATTCACCTCCTTTTTTGTTCTTATACTTCTTTAGTAGTTATACAAAAAATTTTAGTTCTACTGTTGAATAATAGGGCCTCTGACTATATTTATTTTTTTTTCTACACACCACTTCCTCTAAAGGTATGTTAATTAACTTTTATTACATTTAGTTTTATAGTATAGTCTTCTTAGGTACAGTTTTCATCTTTCAAGACAGGCCTAGGATCTGACTGTCCCTCCCTATTCAGAGTTACATTTTTTCTTTATCTCGGGCATGATCGTCATCCTTGATGTGGGGCGTGTGTGAGAAGGAAGGTAACGCAAACTTCATAGGTTTTAAACCCCCCGAACCACACTACTGAGAGTGATTCGAATGTATCTACCAAGAAAATTTTAATACTATTTACAATAAAAAATATTTTGTGCATCAATTTAATAATTTTTTGAATATATATTCTCTAGCACAAGACTCAGAGTGAAACCCGTTTATCTACTAAAACTCAAACTCAAGAATATATTCAAACTATAGTTGTCTACTGCTTTCCTAATGCTATTCTTGAGATCACAATTGAGATATATTTTTATATTAATATTTTTTTATTTGCATATGCAAGAAAGTGTAGATGTGAAATAAAAATGAATCAGATATTTATTATACTATACTTATTACAAACTGCTATAAAATATTGAAATTGCTGTAAATTGATAAAATCAGTGAAATTGCTATGTATACATATTATCATCATACCTGCAAAATGATTAAAACTAACTACTATAATAGTTTGAATCTTGCTGTATTACAGGTATTAATTAATTTGCAATATAGGTATAAAAATGAAACACCTGAAATGTAGTGTTCTCGTATTTGTTATCCATTTAGGACACTTCTAGAAAATAACCTAAAATACTTCTCCAAGAATGGATTTATTCATATGACTGAAAGATCTAGAGATAGGGGATTTATGGTTGAGAAGTGTTTATTTTATATTTATTGTACTGTATGCGACACTTTGGTATTTATCCATGAAAATACTATCGAATATGCTAGTAATCACCTGAAAAAATGCATTACTGAAAAATACCTTACATATTCTAAACCTGTATGGAAAAATGAAGGAGTGCCAAGCCAAAAGAGTATATTATTGCTTAGTCCTGATGAGATTGAAAAAATTTATCAAACTTATTGGGTTATGTACAGTAAAGGTTTAGCTTATTATAGTTATGATTATTCATATAAGGGTAGGAAAAAGATTGTAAATTGTCTAATTAATAATGCAAAAGTTATCCAACAGACTTGGAGAGCTTTCCAGTTGAGACCTAAAACATGGATGAAATGAGTTTGGAATATGGTAGGGAATGATGGCATTCCCAATGAAAAGAAGTTTTTAAATATAACTTCTCATGATATAAGAATTTTCAATGATCGATATGTATAGTATATAGATCGAAAAATTCTAGCTAAAGATGTATCTGCATATCATCAAAATGGTCTATATGATCATTATACTCTATACAAGTGGGCAGAAAGGAAGAAAGATCAGTTACATAAATGATTAGGTCTTGTATTATATATATTTGCCTTCATAGTATTACATCAGCAAGGCTATAGAATTATTGAATATTCAGAATAGACTTATATGTTGAAGTGGTTATCGAATTCTGAATATTACTGTATTGATGAATCCAGTAATAAAAGAATTATTAGAAGTTTAGAGTATTCATGATACATGTGTAAAACATATGACAAACTATATCTGTGTGAATCGCTAAAAATTAACTATTTCGAAACTAAATATATTTATATTCTGGGAGAAGAAATTAACATAGATTTCTCAGATTCAAATAATAATTGTGAGTATGTGTGCCAAATTTTCCAGACCATGGATTCGATATCAAAATAGATATTATATATTTATTATAATAATTTATTTTTTGTAAAAGCACAATAACATATATTAATAACTAAACTCTATTCATCTAATGCTAATGATGCATCCCATCCTAGTCTAATTGCTAAAGGGTTGTCTACTGGTTTGGTAAAATCGAAGACCACAAATTCTCATTCTTGTAAATGTTTATTGATAATTTTGGATGCTTTTTTTGGATTGTTCGTATATTGATATATAACTCTGCTAATGTCATCTCTAGATTCCGAGCCCCAGAATAAAGCTAAATGCAAAATATTCTTACGAATAATTTTAGAGGTTTGTGTATACTTCTGGCTCATATATATGCTTGATACACCTTGATGCTGGCTACTAATAAAATATAGAACAATCCGATCTTGAATTTTCTTTGATTCAGCACAAAGATCCTCGAAGACTACAACTGTATTCCAATCTGGAGAAAATTTAGTTATGTCTGGAATTGCATCTGCTTTTAATGCATGAAATGTCATGTTTTTCCTATATGTCTTTGGGCCTTTTGAAAAATTTTATAACAGTTTTTCACTAATACCCATTTGGGCTCATAGATATGCTTTCCAATTAAGACTAGATCATCATTTTTAACATACCATTCTCTTTTTTTTCCCTTAAGCAAATGTTGAATTTTATTTCTAAAAAAAAGATTAAGAATCATATTGGTTTTTTCACTGTCTGATTCACCACAAATTAACAAATAAAAAGAAAACACAGGACTGGCAGGATGATTTATATTCTTTGAATTTTTGGTCTCATTAAGATAGTACATATAATACTCTATTTTTCTCATCTTGATTCAGCTTAGCATGAAATTATTATATCGAAAAAAAAATAAGGATTTTATTGAAATACATACATTTAAAGTTTTAGATTTATTTTACTGACTGGGAATTACTCAAGAACTCTTTCTCAATTAGCATATACCTAATATAGGAGAAAAGGTTGCATGTATAAGGCACCGAGATAAGACATATACCTTCTTTTTTACATAGATCTTGTTTTTTTTGATCTTGGAATTTTTGTTCATCCAAATCTATTCTCACTTTTTTATGAAACATTGGATTAAGATGATAGTGTTGGGGGCTCTGAAATTCGAATGCAAGACATAATTTCTCATTATACCCATCAAGATGCATCACATCCAAAAATTTAGGTCTACATGGTGAGAATTTCTTACCTAGTAGATCTTCAAAAATATATCGTATAGTTCTTTTGGTAGTATAATGACATAAGAGGCACCCTTCGAATTTTTTTATAATATATTTTAATGGATACTCCTATTGATGCACACCATTCTCACAAGACCAGAGATAGATGCTATGTTTATGTATCTGGCCAGTTTTTTCAAGACAATTTCTATCACACTTCTTTGTATAGTTTTTAGCTTGATTTAACTCACTATTGAGAGAAGCATAAATGAAATGTATGGATAATATACTTTGAGGTAGGTACTCAACCTTTTCTGGATCAGCTATTAACATGAGTTCCTCTCTCATGAATCTCTGCTTTGGTAAAAACTTATCACCTTCGAGATAATATAAGACAGGCTCATTTTTAAAAATTATAATTTTTCGGATCTTATGAATAGAAGGTGAAAATATGGAATCAGTGCATCTGCAAACTGCTTTTATCCCACCTTTCCATTCAGCATTGGCAAGAAGATAGTGAACAGAATCACCTTTCTTTAATGTTATTTTATCCTTACTAATAAGTTACCTTGATATATTGACGGCTTAAATTCGACCTCTTCTAATAAAATAGCTTTTGAAGGTGCTAATCTCCATTTTAAAAAACCTGGTTCTCTGATAAGATGTGTGGGATAATTATTTAGGTAACTGATGACTTTCGGCAAATGCCTAACTCATGCTCTCATTAATCTTGGATTGGAAGATATCGACTCAACAGTATACTAAATCTTGTAGAGTATATCTGCTTCTGTCTTATTGAAATGCTTCACTATTCCAAGACCTCTATGACTATAGGAACCTATTACTCGAATTGTGACATTATGCTCTTGCATTAGTCGAGAAGTCTTGCCCATAAATTCATGACCACCATCACATTAAAGAAGCTTTGGCCATGTCAATAGGTTATTTCAATCTCTATATATTTTCCTGAATGCTCTAACAACTTCCGAACTATTCTTAGATATGAGTGGGACAGAGGCTTTATATCAAGAAGCATAGTCTATCATATTAAGTACTACTTTATAGGTTTTACCTCTGTAATGATCATGGGTAAAAAATAATATATTACATTGATGCACACAATTTGGTTATATTATTTTTCCATAACTGACTCTAGGAATATGTTTGGGTGGAGGCATATAGATTTGGTATGATTGCTGGTGTTTCAGCTAATCTTTTACATCTTTTAAGTGAAATCAGTGTCTCTTTTTTTTACATGTATCACTTGCCTTAAGTGCTTTCAGCAAGAATTTAGGATTGGAATAATATCCAGATGGGCAATAATATACATCATGCATTATAAGATTTTTTTCAATTTTCTGGGCCTCTTCTGGATCAATATAGATAACTGGTTTTCCCATTACTTTATTTGACAATAGTAAATAAAAAAATATGGAGGAATTATAGCAAAGTAATCAAGAACTCTATGAGGTAGTATTACAATTAGCGGAATCAAATAGGAATTTCGAACAACATCTATATACCTTGGAAAGAATTATTAGCATACAGGAGGAAAGAATACGGTTTCTTGAAGAAGAGTTAAACAATACCATTGAAGCTTCTACAGAAGAAAAAGAGGAGTTAAAAGAAGAAATTTCAAAATTAAAAAGAATCATTCACCAGCTCAAGGAAGAAAACAAAAAGAAAGATAAAGAAATTTCGAATAAGAATGAATTAATAACAGAATTCGATGAACGAGAGACAAAATTAAAAAACTGAATACAGAAAATATCAAAATCTGCAAGCAATACCCCCAAAGTACAAGATTATACAACCAGATTAGTGGACGAGAATGAACAGCTTAAACGATAAATAAATACGATAAGAACTAATCAAATAAATAGAATTAACAAAATAACTCAACAAAAAAGTCATATTACAGATCTGCTTTGTCAAAATTTCGCATTATCCTTATTAAGATATAGAGATAGATTGGAGCTTATAAATACCAAAGAGGTTTTGCAAAATGCACAGGCATGGAATTTTAATGAAAATGAATCTAATTCTGATGAAAATTCTCTAAACTTATATAATTCTGATGATAATATGGCTACAATAGCTGAGTTGGCCGATACGATAGATCGATCCCTAAATGATACAATGATATGTAGAACCGTTTTAACAAATCAAATTAAAAGATCAACAAGATCAATCCGATGTAAATATACTAACCTGCAACAAGATCTGGTGAATGAATGATGGAACTGTGACATATATAGGCAAGAGCATGATCAAGCAGTACAGGAGCATAATCAGTTACGGACTAATGCTCAGAATCAAGTAAACAAAATGATAGATCATGAAGCAAAAAAACAAACCTGTATTGGTGAATTGCTACAAGAAAAATTTGCCTTACAAATTTTATATTGACGAAATGTCCACTACCTATAATGATGTAGAGGGGATATAAGTTTATTAGAGTATAATCGAGATAGGCTCTATAAGTGATATGAAAAATAGAAAAATAAGACCTATGCAGAGTGCCAGAATATTTTAAATTTAAATCAACAAATTTTTGCACTACAGAATAATCAACAAAATCAAAGAAATATGGCAACAATCCTGGCACCAATATTTTCAGATAATTATGATGAAGATGTTGAGATTTTTATTAGTCGATTATCAGCATATTTGGCTGATATAGATGTGAATCCAGTTGGTGCAACAAGAAATAGAGCTTTTGGTATTTTTAGAGGATGTTTATCTGGACTAGCATTAGATTGGTTTAATCGAAAAATTCTTGGTAAGCAATAGAAGCTTCATAATATCCTTGCAAATCATGGACAAACCAATATAGCTGATATTCAAGGATATACTATGGCACAGATGAATATTAGCAATAGTTTTAGAAATTCTTCAATAGACCATATCTATGCTAATACTCCTGCTAATAATGCTGTAACAGTAGAGAATTTAATGATTTCAGCAGAAGCTTTTATTGAAGATTGGAGCTTAGCTGGAGGATGCTTATCAGAAAGACCCACCAATGCAGTAAATGCAGGTAATAATAATCCTATTATATTTGATAATATACGGATTGGACAGGCATTATATTGGCTCAAGAATGAATATCCTACAGTGCTTAGTAAAAAGCACAATCTAGTGTTTGGTTCATTAGCTCAAGAGGATGATCCTCTAGAAATATTTTATTTAAAACTTAGAAAATATGGACAAATGCTTAAACTTAATGAGAAGCAAATTAAAGGTTAGTTTTTACATGACTTATCTTCTGATCTAGAGGATGATGCAGAACGTATTGGTACCGAACAACTCTTAGAAGAACTTTTTAGTACATTAGAATGAATTGAAATACGCAGATTGGAAAAAAGACTAGGATTAGTTACTAAAATATCTTAGTCTAGTTATAAGCCATCATCTAGATCTCATGAAAAAGATATTTATTCAAGCAATACAGATGTGAGTAGAAATGAAATTATAGATTTAATAAAACTACAATGGCTTTCTCACAACCTCAAATAGCTCAACAGAATGCCGATTTACAGTCTATCATTAAATCCTTTCAAGAAACTATGTCTCAAGTGACTAAAACTCAAGATAATAGTAAAAAATCATCTAAGAAGAGAGCAGAAGATACTGTCATTAATTGCTTTTTGAGTGACTTACTAAGAAAAAATCCAGTTAAACACCCTGCTGATAAATATGATCATAATTCTATAGAAGTTATTTCAGATAGTTTAGCAGGATTAATATTAAATAGTGTCATAAAAACTGCTGTTAGATGTGCTGTTAAGAAATCATTAGATCACAAATGCTCTATTTGTAGAAGATTTGAACATAATTTCCAAAACTGCCTTCAAAAGAAGAAAAAGAGAAGTAAAAAGTCTAAAAAGGGTAAGGTTAATCTTGCTACAGTAGATTCAGATTCAGATTCAAGTACTTCCTCTGATACTTCTTCTGGTGATAGTTCTGACTCTGATACAAGTTCAGAGGATTCCTCCAATTCTGGAGGTGATATTACTGTTAACATAGCTAAGTCAAAAAAAAAGTAAAGCAAGACTTTAGTTTCAAGAAATTGTCCCTTAAAAAGATATCTAAAACTTTATTGGAGGAAACTATTCATAAAGTCATCCAAAATGAACTTAAATTAATTTTTCCTGATCATTTTTCCCAAGACCCCATTAAAGCTAATATACTCAATTAAGCACCTCTAATCCAAGAAAAGATAGAATCTCAATGCAATACTTCTCCAATTACTGAGGTTGTATCGCTAGATCCAGATGAAAAAGAAGATTTGGATAGTCTGATGAAGATTGATTTCATTAAGAAGAAGGAGCCAAAAACAAGTGTCGCAACTGTAAAGTGTAAAATTAAGTGCTTAAAGATTTCAGCCATGACAGTAGACTCTGGGACTAAACCTCCCATTATAACAGAAAATATTGTTATATGTGTGGGAGCTAAAATTGATAAATCTGAAACACACGATCTTAGTGGTATTGCCACTGTTCCAGTTGAATCTGTTGGAGTTGTTCACAAATTACCCATTACTCTAGCCTCAGGCTGTACTATCCATGAAGATTTTATTGTTGTAAAATATCAAAAGCCAATGTTAATAATTTTTAATCAGCTTTTGAAAAAATACAATTGCGCATTGGATTGAAAAACCAATAAGCTAAAAATTCCTCTTAATGAAAAAGATTATATTATTCCAGTTACTATGCATAAGGTTAAAAACAAGTTTGAGGTAAATTGTGCAAACATAACTCCCGATTGTGATGATTTCTCGACTCTGAATAATATATCACAGAACTCACAGGAGTTAAGCGGGTATTATGATGTATTAAAAAAAAATGCATAACCTATTAGGAGCTTAAAAAAATGTTATATACTACTTTTATTTCTGAAGCTAAATTAATTGAGATTAATAAAAACCACCAATCCCTTTTTTAATGTTAACTATTATTAGAGTATTTTTGCTGAATATAATGAGCTAAAAGATGAGTTATGAGCTAGGCATTTTTCTGATTCATATATAGCTTCTTCTGCTCTAATATGATTTTTTTCAATTGAAGCAATTAGATCATATGAGATGTCTAGTGAGGAATTTTGGCAGAAGCCTTCAGTTGAAATCTCAGATAAGTCAGAACTTTGAATGGGTTTAGGTTTTGATGACTTCTTTTTCTTTTTTTGCTTTTCTGTACATGATCCAAGAGGGACCCACCTGTCTTAATGAACTTAGAAAATAAAGGGGTCCTAGACAAACTAGATAATTCATTTGTAATTGACTCATCTAATGACTTTAAAGATCCTACAATTGAATAATTGTTTTCTTTTTCTTGGGGATCATTTTCTGAAGGAGGGACTAATGAAATGGATTGTACTTTTCTAAACTCCTTGAAAAAGTGGTTTCTATTTTGCTATAAATGCTCACAATCATTCTATATATCATAAACATGATCTTTATTAATATGGTACTCATTTACTATCATGTATACCGGAATCTTATTTTTGAGATATTTAATTTCTTTAATCTGTCCAGATGTTAAAATGGTGGCACCCTGTCGATAATAGGTTTTTAAAATTGAGGTAGACATAATCTTCCAATATTTTTAGACAGTGTATTTAAATGTATAAAAAATATTAAGCATTAATATTTATCGTTTTAGATAGATAATAAAAATTAAAATTTAATTTTTATTATTTTAGAATGAGAGAAGACATTAGAAAGCATAATTTATTGTTTTAGATGGGTAGAATACATTCTAATACATTATCTAAAATAATAATAAAAATGATCAATAACCTTTATGTTCATTTTTTATTTATTGTGATTATTCTTTAATATAAAATTTGAAAGTTTTTTTTTACATGTTTATAGCTAATGTAAATAAATGGGAACATATAATCTTGAAAAAGAGATACATCGCATCTTACAAGACTTATCCAAGATACAAGATTATAATGCTAAGTTGCGGAATGAATATATAAAGATCAATAATGAGGCCAGACAGTTGAAGGTTGAAAATTCTAAACTTTTTTCCTAATATGCTTGTGCAAAGACATCTCTTGCCAAATATAAAGCTGAATATCATGCAAAATTAGAGGAAGTGAAATCACTTCAATCTGTGATTAATTCATTTCCCCTAGGATACTTTGATAAGAATAATTGGCCAGATGGTCTTGAGAGAACTGATTCACATTTAAAAAGTAATGGCGAAAAAAATAATAAGCCAGAGAGCTCTAGCGCTTCTCCAGAACAAATCATACTCGCTACTATTTCTAAAAAAAAGATTTCATTAGGTGGTGCAGGGAACTCTATCGATATAGACAAATTACTATTATTAGTGCTCATCTGCTCGATATTGCTTTTTCTATTAATCGTAATTATATGGTTAGTCATTGTAAAAAAGCTATAGAATTTGGAGGGTATCATGCCAAAAAAAAAAGTCAAATATTCCAACCACAAAAAATATATAAAGAGAGAAAAGGTACCAAAGGTACCAGATAGACCGGGGATAACATCTAATTATTTACCATATGAGTACAATAGCGCTAGTGAAACTTCTTCGAATCTTTTTTCAATATGAGCTAATACCTTTTCTAATAAATCTTTAGGTGGATTTATTAAGACCTTTCTAGTGTTGGCCACTGTACAAGCTAAAAACTATCCAATATAAATGAACTCACCTCCCTTACTATTATGCCTATAGCATAGCAAAAATCAATACTCATCTATTTACAATATCTGTCATTTTCTCCTAATCTGCTATTATTTTACGAAATTCTTGTCTATTCTTCTCTGTAATTGGATTTCACTAGGTTCAAAGCCTATGTACTGAGAAAGTTGGTCACACAATTTAGCTATTATATTAATAAAGCTTGAGTCTAAATAAAACTGTTAATATTGTGCAAGAAAAAATATATAACGATCAGCTACATCTCTGGGCATATCTGAGTCTGGCTGTGTAATCAGAGGACTAGGCTGGAAGAGGCCACCCTGTGTCCAGATCGAATATAGAAATTGAAGTTAGCCAGTATTATAAGTTTTCTAGCAGGAGTGTAGAAATTTTAGCTAAGAGTACTTATCTATATAATTCAATGATTTCATCTATATCCATTTCAGACGAATCATCTTTTTTATTATTCTGTAACTTAGATATTGTTCGATAGCATGTGATTTCTAGACTAACCACTTTGTACCATGTGTTTCAGAAATTTGCTAGTAGCTTATACTCATTTTCTAGATCATATGATAATATATATTTTTCTAAGATCATAGCTTTCGATTTACGCTTACTGGACTTAGTAACTAATTTATACATTTCTTCTTTATAACATTCATCGATTTTAGAAATTTCTTTGAGCAATAACAAAACCTTTAAGTGGGCAGATTCTTCTAGTTTATCTAGTGCATTAAGGAAGGAAGTGTAATAACCAACATTACCTGAGCATTTTACTACTTTACTAGCATAATTGGTATCAAATAAATTTTTCACATAAGTACGAGCTTCTTTCCATAAATAGGATACGATGGCTTTATCTTTTTTCAGTCCATTACGTAGGTCTTTGATATATCTCTTAATTTACTTTTTAGCTGATTTCTGTGCTAAGGTATCTTTCATATTTAATACATCATCTTTATCCAAATCTTTGCCATTCTTCGATTTTTCTATGGATTCAGATGATGGCTAGAATCTATTATCATAATTTATAAAACATGCACAGAGACTGGCAACACTTTTCAGATAATAGTTAATATCGATCTTTTTACCTAATTGCCTTACTACCTCAGGATACTCCATTTTATCTCCTACCTTCTGTGATAAATTATTTTCAACTACAATATATTCAAAGTGCTCGCCTGGTTCTGAAATTTGGTAAAGATAAGGTTCTGATGTCAAGCCCTTTTTTATAAGTTGTAGAGCTTCAGCTTTTTCATGAATATGCCTATCTTGCATTTGTAAAATAAAGCATTGAATAGATTTGTTATCTTTATTGGGCTTCCATGCACTAGTTTGAATCAATTCATCAAGGTCTATCTGAAAAATATCGTTTATGGTTCTCTTGAGTACTTTCTCTACAATCTGTTGCAAGGTATGTGCATTGTTTATCTTCATAGATTCATCCATAATACGCTTTCCTATTTTGCGAAAAAGAGTAAAATGCCCTCGTTTTACAGTTTCTACTCTCCGAATAAAAAGCTTTTTATTAAAGTTTGGCTTACTTTTATGTGGAATACCATAGTATTTTTTCTTTTCAGTAAATGCTACTGGAAATAAAGCCTCTTCATATGCCATTTTAAGATAAGACGATCTATTATCTTTTCTAAGAAAGTTATTAACTTCGTTGTGGAGTTTCTTCATGATTTTTATAGAGATGTTTACCATTCTAGACCAATATTCTTCTTTTGAGATCTCATTTCCACTGTCATATGCCTTATCACATTCCTGGAAGTATTCTTCTGAACAGGTAAGATATAAGGAATCAGTGTCTCCATATTTTATTTCGAATCTCTTACTTTTAATAAATTCTGCGACAAGTTTGATATTTCTTTGTCTAGCTGAGGTGACACTTCTAGCAAGTTCATGCAAGAAGAAAGGGGATTTACTATCTCCAGCTATACCATAGAATGTATTCATATATATCTTGAAAGCATATTGTTTTGTATCTAAGCAAGAATAGTCAAAACAAACAGAGTCATATTCTACCTTAAATTCATATTCTTCTTTATTAATAAAATAGTATAGATTTTTGTTAAAGCTAGTACATTTTTTCTCCTCTGCTTTTGCTAAAACCTGCTCGATAGCTTCTGGTAATGACAAACCTTTATCCATTAAACCTATTACCAGTCCTATGTCTTCTTTTGTTTCTTTTAAAGAGGCAAGGCATTTCTTCATCTTATTCTGTTTGCCAGATAAATATTCCAATATATTAACATAGAGACCTTTTTCTTTTGGAACGTTATTATGTTGGATAGATCATGCAAAAATATCCTGACCAATAAATTTAAAACTAATTTTTTGAAGCTTTTTACCACTTTGTTTAGCATCCTCTTGAGATAAAATTATTTTATTAGATGAGAGATTGTAAGTTATGATAAGGCTCAAATACAATGATGCAAAGTCTAAGCCAGTTATAGGATGTCTATTTTTGAGACCTTTTACTGGTGAGAAAACATAAGCTCCAGGATATTTTTCAGTTCTAGTTTCTTCTTTTAAGATTGTACTGGATAGGACCTCTCTTTGCCATGTGCTAGTACTTAAAAGGTTGCAAAACTTTATACCTCCAGCAAAATAATGCATATCAAATAATGATAAGAAGGCTAGAGTTACTAACTCCCTATATTCATTAATTATATTGCACTTGACCATTAACTACTGACAGCTAAGAGCATCATTTATGCAGTATTTGGCTACTTCATGCATTTGTTCGGTCATTGTGGCATTTGTTTTTTTTAATGCCTTTTCATAGTACTTGTTCATGTGGTGAATGAATAGATCTACTTTGTTATCAAGTTCACACTCACTTAAGTAAAATGTGAGACTACTTTTTTTAGCTTTAGAATAGAATTCCTTGAAACAGGGCTGAACATTAATGGCCACACAGTTGGGAATTTTAAGATGTTTTGAATAGAATTTTTTATCATTTACTTTTATCATATTATATCGATATTCTTATTTTATAATTTTTTCAAGGCTTGATGGCTTGAATAACATATGATTGAACATCTATTCGAGAACTCCTAATTTATTAGCCTTCTTTACAATAAATTTCCAGTTATATTGTAAATCATTAAAGCCTATTTGTATATCTGGAGCTAAGAGTTTTCAACACAATGCAAATGCTTTTAGTAAATTGGTCTGGGATCCACATACGATTGTAATCCATTGTGAGTCTGGAGTAGTTTCAACATCAACAAGACAAATTTGTTTTAATGGTTTGGAATCATCTTTCCAATGAACTGTCATACAAATTATAAACACAACATCTTCTTCATATTTTGCATTAAGCACCTTACCCATTTTTCGTGAGTTATATGTTTTAATATCCCACATGAGAACAAGAGTGCAATCCTGTGAAGTGCTGAGGAAAATAATAGATTATTATAATTGCTTTCATTTATTGGATTGTAATTATTCACAGATACTTGGAAGAGATAAGTACCCCCCTGAATGTGTTCATATAAATAATCATTTAATACTGCCCAACTTGAAAGAGGTAATCTTTCTTTACAGGCTACTTTGCAGTAATAATACTGGCAATTTAGATCATCCGAAGCTGTATACATACCAACAGCACGAACTGCTTTTAATGCATTATACCGGTTGTAGTAGTTCCATGTTCTCACATGAATATATAGTTTCTTTTCTGTATGATACCCTTGAAGTGAGAAAGCACTAATAGTCTCAATTCCAAACTTCGATGTGCTATTAAGAATATTAGATAATATTTTAACTAATTTGGTCTTAAACATAGATAATAGCATCTCTTCAGGTACTTCAACATCAAAAAAGAGTTTGATGTCTGTAATATTTATGACTGCCTTTTGCCCATTAATCAAAGTATCAGTGATATGCAAAATATAAGTGGAGATCCCATTTACATATTCAGTATCATTACTAACTTTAGTAGGCATAAAATGTATGGGCTGTTTGCTAGATAGGCTTTGTTGGATCAAAGGGGTGGTTCCATTATCGAATTCTGCCACAATATCATTACATGATAAAACACCAGCTATGGTCTTGATGTCATCGTAGCAGGCAAAGGAGCCAGTTCTAGTGCGAGCAGTTTGGTCAAAAATAGTTGTGGTATGCATAATGTTAGTTTGAAAAGTTATACTATCTCTATAAAATCTGGAAATGTTTAAAATATTTTTTTTGATAGTGTAAAAAAGACATGATGGTGAACTTGATAATCAAATTGTAAAATGAAGACACCTGAATATGCATCTAAAAGTGTAGGCTTTTGTATAATCTATTATATAAATATTGGCAGAAGCCTACACTTTTTTAGATATGTACTCAGGAATAGTGAAAGCAAATGCATTCTTGATAAGTAGAATTCAGAGTAAGTAAGTTCATAATAATTATATCCTGATGCAATTTTTTTTGATGAATGCAATAAAGAAGCTATAGCAAACTTAGTTAACAAATCATAAATAGAAGGTAAGTGGATATGTATCTGAAAATGGAGCCTTCTTCAGAATTATTATATAAAATAATGGAAGAAGGTTTCACTTTCTAGATATGCACCCAGGTGGTAAAAAGAAAAGCATCTGAAGGAATCTTATATCAAATAATGGAAGAAGAATACTTTATCACTAGTATGAACCCAGATATATGTTGGATACTAGGGCAGGCAAGAGCATAAAAGGAAGGCATCAAGATACATATCTGAAAGTATAGACTTCTGCGTAATTATATTATATAAAGATGACAGAAGCCTACACTTTTCTAGATATATAGTTGGGTATAATATAAACTCGGACATGGTATGAAGGCTTCTGCAGTATTATTATTATAAAATATTGGCAGAAGCTTTCATCTTTCTAGATATGTAATCGGGTAATACTTAAAAGTCTTAATGACCAAAAAAGGCATTTAGGTATGCATCCAAAAGTATAGTCTTCTTCGGCATCTTTATATAAAAAATTGAAAGAAGACTACATTTTCTAGATATGTACTTGGGTGTAAGGTAATTTCAAAATTGCTTAAGAACAGCAATACATGGCTGGTAGGTGTAGAAGATTATGATCATTTTAGCCAGATCTTTGGGTATAAAAATTCAGCATCCAAGCTGGCATAAAAATGGTCTAAAACTAGCGAACAAACAGAATCTCTCTAGCACTCTGCCAGTGCCACGATAGTTCTAGGCATTATCAGGTCACTATTATAATGCCAAGTCGGATCCTCAAATCACATGTCCTAAAGATCAGCCAGAATTATGTCATAGAGCTGGCCAAAATTAATCACAAATCTATTGCACTACCTAATACAAATTTTTTTTTACCACATTTTGGCATCTAGAAAGGCAATCAAATAGGTGCAAAAAGGTAAGTACCTTAATATAGAATCAAGTATCCAGACCAGCACAAAGGGCCAGCACCCCCAATATAGAACCAGGCATCCAAACAAGTATAGAAGGCCAGTACCAACAATAAAGAATTTGACATGTAAATAAATTAGGAACAAGAAGGAAATAGCAGTATTTAGATCACATACTGGTAGCTAGATTAAATAGTAGGTAGTAGTTAGATCGTATAGTGGTAAAATATAAATAACAGAAAGAGTTCAAAGAGATAGCTAAAACATAAAATAGATATCTAATATAGGAAATATATAGATTATATAGTAGTAATTAGATTACATGTTTAGATTATATAGCATTTATTAGATTATATTATTTAGATCATATAGTGATGCTCAGATTATATAATGCTATTCAGACTATATAGAGATATCTAAATTATATAATGATTTTCAGATTATATAGTGGTATCTAGATTATATAATCTAACCTAAGTGGGATACCACCTATAATATAGTTATATTATAGGTGATATCCTACTATATTCAATAATATATAATTATTTATTAGATTAATATTTGATTTTTTTACTTATTTAAAGTTTTTTATTTCTTAATTCTGTAATATTAATATTACATTAGTATTTGCAATATACAAGCTTAGTAAATGAAATAATAAAAAAATAAAATAGATAAAATAATAAAGATGTAAAATAAATGAAATAAATAAAATAATAAAAATGTAAGATAAGTAAAAACTGTAATATTATCATTATTGTTATAACTATATATAAATTTATTAACAGATAATGATTACTTACATGGTCTGAATTCTTAGATCTTATCATAATATATCAAAAGGCTGAAAATGTTCAATACTGTTATGTAACTCAAAATTTTCATAGCTGCCCTAGTAAATTCTTTATATATAATATGTATTAAAATTTATTATTAGTACTATAGTTGTGTAAAAATAGTAAATGTAATATATTAGAAGTTTGAATAAACATATAATTAGGTGTTAAATTAAATAAAGAATTAGAATTAAACATATATATATAGATTATTATTATTAAGGTTATATAAATAAATACTTTACAAAAATATAAATACAACTCTTTCTGATAATTACTTGAACACAAAATAGCTAAAAGGAATAAAGAAGATTTTTGCAAAATCAGCAATAGGAAATACCTTAAATAGCATTAGACAAAAAGAAGCAGCAACATAGAAAGCAATAAAAAGTATAGAAGAAAAGTGTGCTACAAAACTAATAGCATAGTTACAAAGAAAAAAAAAACTTAAAAAATTTTTGTTCAAAAATAACAACAATAAGAAATTGCTATTAGACTCTATATATAGATCTGTTTATATTATACAAAAATATAAAATAGTAAGGGTGTGGTGACCTAGTGAAGTGGTCAGGTTGTCAACCCCCAAGTGGCAGGTCCAGAGTTCAAATCCCAGTGTCGAC